CTACACTTGCTTATGAATAGTTTCAAAATTGTTGTTTGGTTGGTTGGAAACATCCCACATTATAAGACACTAGCTGTTCCGTGCGGTTTCATCCGCATGAAATTATGAAAATTCTATTTTATTGTTTACATTTGTCAAATTATCAATAGCAAATGTCAAACTGACATGACGTGACAAACCTTGGCAATCTTGTTTCCTTAATGTTGGCAGCAACTTATGGTCTCTTTCCCACATTAGGGTTTTTATCCAATTTATTTATCCTCTAAGTTTAAAAGCGCTAAAATGTATGGCCTAAAGCATAAAGTAAGTGTAGGGCTTTTTATTAAAAGAAAAATTATTCAAAAATATACTGTGACTGCTGACATCTTACGCCACAAAGTAGTGTGTGTTTACGCTTTATTATATTAGTATAGATATAGATTACGTTCATAAATTGATTACGGCTTAAATTAGATTGTATTTAACAAGTTAATAAAACTTTAAAACAATTGTATATCGTACAAACTTGAGGTGGACAGATAACTAGATTCTGCGTAGGATATGAATCCTTAAATGTCATAGCAATGAAGAAATTTAATGTGTTTGTTTTTATTTCTTTTACTTAAGTTAACCATTAAAATACAACTATTTAACAGATAACGGTTGCATTAAATTTTGAGCTTTTAGACGTGTCCTGTACATTACTTAAATGTCAAAAGTAACTACCTATTTATTTTACGAACATTATTGTTGCATACACTACGTGTAGTGTATAATCGTACACTACGTGCCATTTTGAAATGATTTAAATATATAACATAAGGTGGCAAACGAGCAAGCGGCCACCTGAATCCGCCAAAATGGCGAAGCGACCGCTGCCCATAGACATCCGCAATTGCAGATGCGTTGCCTACCCTTATCCAACAGAGGAGGAGGCACACATAAAGAGGATATTTCCCCTTCCTATGCATCTCCTTCTCCGTCAAATCCACTTCTCCTTCCCATCCTCTCCTTATAAGAAAAGGGTGGTAAAGAGAAAGGGACTTAAATGAGGCCTCTACCACACTCATCAGACGAAACACGAAATTTCATTCATTTCACGCCTGTCTTCTGTGTGGTCGTGGTGGTACACCGGGCGTGCCGGCCCATTGCTAAGATGTTAAAGCGGGCACTTAACTTATAAAACAAATGAATTATAACGCTTTGGGTAAGTTCGTAATTAGGTTGATTTCGGCAACTTTTGACCTCTTCCGTACATCCATGTATGGAACTAGATCTTCGAGTGTAAAGCCTATGGAACTCTAGAACAGACAAAATTAACGTAATACAAAACCTTTTACTCCGTTATCCTTTGGTTTATTTTAAATTTAGAATTCCATAATACGTTGGGTATTATATCTCACTTTGAAACTTTACTAATCGCCCTTAGTAATGAAGATAAACATCTGCATTACTTTTTATAATTACTCGACAAATTAACAACCGTATAATTATTCTTTTAGTAAATTTAATTAATTCATGTGTAAATAATTGAGTAATTAAATTGTCCGCTTCCGAAACCCTTTACAATAAGTAACATTATGCATATCTTACAAATATTATAAATGCGAACATTTAGATAGATTGATGTTTGTTAAAGTTTGTAGCCTAAACGGCTGAAGGGATCTCGATGAAATTTGGCATAGATATAGAAGATAGCCTGGAAGAACACATAGGCTACTCACTTTTGATTTTTTAATTCTACGCGGACGGAGTCGCGAGCGAAAGCTAGTAGTAACATTAAAACAAATACGATCGAAGCTGTTCAATATGCATACCAAAATCATGTCAAAATTTAGGATAAACTGTATGCACGTGTTTACAAAAAATAAATTACAACTATGTCCGGACCTGTCACTTGCCGAAAAGGATAGTTATGTGATTGTACTAAGAATATAACTATTAAAATTATATCAAAGCTAATTATGATTGACATCACATTGACCTTGGGGTAATGTGCACAGGATCCGCGACTGACTGCCGGGTTCTTTGACCATTTGTCACAAGCCCAACCGCGGAAAGTATAACAATTCTAAATAAATTATTAATTACATGCAATGGAAAAAATGTGTCACCCAAAAATATTGTTATTATACTGATACGAGCTTTGCCCGCGACTTCGTCCGCGTGGTATTAGAAAACATACGAACTATATAAATAACAAAAAGCTACGTATCCCTCGGGAAGCGGACATTTCTCGGGGATGAAACTTATCCCATGTGTACTTCAGACTTTGTTTTATATCTGTGCCAAATTTCAAAAGGATATGTTGAACCGTTGCAGAATGATCGAGTAAACATTAAAAAACTAAATTAATGAATCCCACGGGAACCGTAACTATTCCCGGGACAAAAAGTACCCTATGTGTTCTTCCAGACTATGCTCTAAACCTGTGCCAAATTTCATGGAGATCCGTTCAACCGTTTAGGCTACAAACGCTAACAAACAACCATCCATCCATCCATCCATCCATCCATCCATCCATCTAAACTTTCGCATTTATAATATTAGTAAGAAGTAAGATTAAATGCAGACTAAAAGATTACGTTTTAGGAATATTAATAAAAACGCAGCAGCCTTTGTAATTAAATGATTTAACCAAGAACGTTTGTCTAAAATCGTACAAACGTAATTCAAATATTCTAAACTTGCAATTCGGCTGTGCAACTAGCTAAGTCCACCTTTCACTCTGGAACAGGACCCCTCGGTGCGTTCAAAATCAAGTACAATATGCTTCAAGGCCAACAATAAAATAATATTTGCATAAAATACCAATGTATAAAATCTTATTATTATCGTTGATTTTTTTAATTTCACATTTCGTTCGAAATCTCCTAGTATTTTGATGTTTATTTATTAAGTAAATTCGAAATTTTTAATCGTCGATTTTATGAAAGTCGTGCTGAACATGACCTTGCTAGAAAATAATCGAATCTGCTCGTATTTCTAGAACAATCTACAAAAGTCTCGATCGTCACAACGTTGGATTTAATAAACAGTGCATATGAGTTAATATTCAATAAACTTTACGTAATAATCTTTGTCTTTATCGATGCATTTAAGCAAAGAGCTTCAAACAATCTTGAGTTTTTAACCGTATAAATAGGTTAATTTTTAAGAATAACGTTTTTGAACTAGCTGTTGCCCGCGACTTCATCCACGCAATATTAAGATAAAAAAAATAGCCCATCTACATAGAAGGACTACATTAAAGGGACACATCGACCGGACTTTCACTGGAGGATAGCTGATGTCAGCTACCCTCCACTGAAGGTCCGGTCGAAATCGGCCCAGCCGTTTCAGAGATTACCCGGAACAAACGCGGCTTGCAGACAGACAGATAGACAAAACAATTTTAAATACGATTAGCAACGCAAACACGTCATCATCTTCCCGAAATCTGAAATTTTCTTTTGATACTACAAACAGACACTCCAATTTTATTATATGTATAGATGTAAATGGCGGGTTGTTCATTGTTACCGATTAACAATTTGCAAGTACTTAAAAGTTATTTGTAAATCATATGCCTTATTTTATGGTTATTATACATTTATTTATATCATGCAATCGCTACGAGATGCGATAGATCGGAACGTGAATTCATCGTAAGCAAAACATAAACGTCTTTAGTAAAACAAGAACAAAAAAGATCTTATTGCATTAGACGCTATATTACGTATTAATATAATGTTTACATTAGGTATTTTTCATTTTTAAATAACAATTGAAATTCGAAATAATTAGAAGCGAAACCAAAAACCAAAAGAATTTACCAAAACGATGGCATACCTAGTAAAACCGTCACTCGGAGTCGTCCGATCTTGCCAGTCTTTGCGTAACAATGAATTAGAGGTTAAACGTGAAACTCTCCAAATAGCTTCAAATTTCTGGCAGAATCTTGGTCTTTCTGTAGCCTTAATACGGCAGAGCGTATCTGTAATTGAGGATGTCATCGTATAACGGTCACTTCAATCTGCGAATTCAAGTAGCTTCTTGTTTGTCTGTCAACTTATAACATAAAAAATAACTTGCTTTAATTTTTGTCTATTTATCAAACCCAAGTATTTCGGGTTAATATTAATTCTGTTGTATGTATGTATGTATGTATGTATGTATGTATGTATGTTAAGGCGTCTACGGTAATATCGTTTCTTTAACACTGTTTACAAAACACTCAAGGTAGATAATACTAAGTAGGGTCACGTATTACCGTTTTATTATGCAGGTCAGGTTAAAGGCTATTTTACAGAAAAAAGCGAATGCAACTCAACTCTTAAACGTTTTCATTAAGCAGCGATTTGGTTGAAATAATCCAATTTTATACAACTATACATTTTATTAAAACTTCAATAAAAAAAATTGCGTGACTGGTTATAATTTTTATGAAATAATTATCAAAAAAGGCAAAATACAAAAAATAACAGTTCCTAGTTATTAACACTGGAGCGAACCATAAATGCAAAAACAATTGAACAATGAAGTAGACAGAAAAAATGAATCAATATTTCTTACCAGCCAGTCACTTGACAAAAAATCAAAGGACTTAAGTCCTGTAAAATGAACGTTTTATTTCTTGTTCTAAAGTTGTTTTGGAATTTTTATTATCTGTGGTAAAATGATAAACAAAATATTAGACTGCAAGCAAACTGGCCGAAAATAATCTATCAAAAGCCAGCTTCAAAAATAATAAGTTTGTGAAAAACATCAATACAAGATTTGTGTCTTATCGAGATTGTTTAAAGATTTTTCTCTTTTTTTTAATGATTTGGGCCTTTATTGTCTGTGTTAATCATAATATTACAATGGAAACCTTCCGGCTGAAGAGATTACGCGTAAAAAAATAAAAATAGTTTATATTCGCTAGTAGAGTGCGCTATTTGATGTATCAAATGAAAGGAAGCAGGAGCGAGGGGGCGCATTGTTCCATACAGCTTTTATATAAACGAAGCGAGCCATTTCGCAATCATTCCAAGTTGGATTCTCGCCGCGTCCTATCGGGGAGCGAGAGCCGCAACGGTTTCGCGCGCAAAAGTGACAGATCTTAAAGAATAGCGTAGTTTTATTTACTTATTTTATTAATCAATAATAAATTTACGCATTCAATATGGCTGTTACAAGTGCTAGGAGCATTGTGAACATCAAAGAAAAACACTTCGAACCTGAAAATGCCCGGATTGATAAATACACGGTAACTATATTTTTAATGTTTTAAAAAAATATATCTCATATACGCCCTTGATTGTTTTACATTTTAGGCACATTCAAAACTATAATGCAATAATACACTACTTCTTACTAATATTGTTAATACGAAAGTAGAAAAAAAATGGATATAGAACATAGTCTGGAAGAACACATGGATTAATAATTAGGTAGGGCGAGAGGTAGTGATGAAATTTAGCACATTTCTAAAACACAGTCTGAAAGTTTAAATAAACTAATTACTATGTTTTGTTTTAATTTCTCGCTGACAAAATCGCATGCGCCAATAACAAATAATACGCATGAAACAAAGAAAATCGCTGAAACAATCTATAACATAATCGAATTCAAAACATACAAAATGTCAATGAACATTGCCGGTCCACTTAAAACGAAAACATGAATGAACTCAAAAATAACGTAGTCAGTAATTAAATTTATAAATAGCTTTTGAATCTAATTTGAATTTTTAATGCATAACATAAATTTATCTATTTTAAAACGAACTCGGTAAGAAGAGTTATTACTATTTTTATTTATAAGAGGTGTTTTATTTAAAAACTAGCTATTCCCATGCGGCTTCTTCCGCAGGTATTTATAAAAACTTCATTTTATCGTTTACATTTGTCAATTTATCAATTTCAAATGTCAAAATGACATGACTGACAAACCTTAGCAATCTTTCTTGATGTTGGCAGCAACTTATGGTTTCTTTCCCACATTAGGGTTTTTATATTAAATATTTACCCTCTAAGTTTAACGACGTGAAAATATATAGTCTAAAGCGTGTCGTAAGTGTAGGGCTTTTTAATAAAAAAGAGTTATTCAAAAACATGCTGTAATTGCTGACATCTTAGGCAACAAAGAAGTGTGTTTTTACGCTTTATTATAATAGTATAGATAGGTATCATTTTAGTATTTTGATAAGAGAAAATGTGTCACTTTCATCACTGGTACGGATTTTTAATGGTTTTTTTGCTCCAGCGTTGTTTTAACGAAAACCTATTCGATTATTTTTCTCAATTTTCTTACATACAACTAAAACTTTTGACCACAACTTGTTCAAATACATTCCATTCTATATTATTCTAATCTATACTTATTTATAGACAAGTCGTTTTAAAAAGTTGTCGAATATAGTCAGGTTGTATTTAAATTAATTACTTGGATAGTTACGGTCTGCATGTACCCTTCTATTCTGTCTGATATACGGAGGTCACGATTAACTGATATCTACGAGTTGGAATGATATCCGCGAATGAAATCACAGACATTTGTTACGAATTAAACATATATTAAACTTGTATCTTAAGTTATAACGTCCAAAATTGACTGTACTAAAATACGTTATTGCTTTTTTTTAAGGAAGGGTAAGTTTCAGCCCTGGAAAGAGGAAGTGGATTTATCAGGGGATAGGAGGTAGGGGAAAAAACTTTCTACGGGTCACCTCAGAGCGCTAGTGTAGAGTTCTCTTGTTAAAAATTATTTTGCGATTTAGTACTAACAGCAGATAAAACAAAGATTAAATTTATCTTTATTTTAATACTAGTATAAATATCGATAACTTCTCACGTTATTTAATTTACTTCTTTCCTAAATCATTTTTTTAATCCTTGAATTATTTAAATTTACTTCTACGTCCAAATTTTAACATACAAGCAGGAAGGAATTGTACAGTTATGCTAATGAATGCATGCCAAGAGACCTGAGATTGTAAACTTAAAGAATCTAAATTATAAAGAAATATAAACAGAACTTAGAAAACAAGTTTTTATCTATTTTTCTAGATTAAAATAACGCTAACTTTTCAATAAATCTAAGTCATAAATTGTCAATTAAAAATCATAAATTTGACTTAAATTAACTACATTCTATTTAAATAAGCTTATTGTAAGCTTATAAAAAAACAACCCCAACTCGATCTTGTTGTAGACTAGCTGTTGTCGCGACTTCGCCCGCGTGAAATTAAAATAATAATAAAAAACATAGCCTATGTTACTCACAGAAAAATGAACTTCCTAATGATGAAAGAATTGAAATCTGTCCAGTAATTTTTGAGTTATTTCAATACATGCAAAAATACAAATCTTTCCTCTTTATAATATCAGTATAGATTGTCGAAATCATTATTTTTTGTTGTTTCATTATAATTTTTAAAGGTAATATTACATTCGACTACATGACTCATATTGACCATTCTTTTAGATTGTTCACTTGTAATGACATTGTTTATTAACTATCTATATCAATTAAGCAACTTTTACAAGAAATCCGTGTCACTGTTATCTTACAAAGATATTAAAATAAAAACTGCAAAATGTTATTTACTTAATATAACGGATTTACGTTCCAACGTTGGCAATTCACTTTAATATACATTATTTCTCATAATGCTATTTTTATATCTATTTATAGTAAAATAGTCTCTTAGATTTTAGCTAACTAAACTATCGCACAACCGTTTAGTCGAGCGTTGATTCTACTGAGCTTATTTTTAGTTGGGCAACTAAACTGTTGATTTAGCTGCGAAACAATCGACAATCGCACATCAGTTGTGCGACAATTTAATCAAAGGTGTGCGCCCGGTCTTATTATAAATTTTATCTTATTGAATTGAGTTATTTTCTATTATGTTTTTTTATACAAAATCAATACGTTTTCTAACAAATTCATATCGATGTTGATTAACATTGGTTAGTAACTCAAAGGCCAGTGTTCTGAACTAGGAAGGCAGTATGTAATTAACATAACTCTGCGTAGTGATGCAATGAGATGATGTAGCTCCTAAAGAACACGTCCTTATAATATGCTAAGGACAGAATAATTCCAATTCGATAATAATAACGAAGTAAAAGTACCGAGGCTCCTAAGGGAGCCCTCGAGCTTAGTTACCTGAATAGCAAATCTAGATTCAAAATTTAAACTATTTATTAAGCGTTTGGAAAGCCATCTTTTTGAAAATTTCACATGAATAGAATATTTTATTTATATTCAGTATATTATGTATGTATGTATTTTATAAACGTCATACAAGTATGTTACTCTCCACTACTACATTCTACAAATGTAATATTATAAGATTGCTCCCGCAAACCAATTATATGGTTTTTGCGAGGCCATATATGTGCATCAATTTAATTTGTGTTTTCTGTATAATTTTCAAGAAGTAAATAAAATAAAAACGAGGTCTATGCGACATCTGCGCTCGGCCACCTCAAGCCCGATGAATCTGTAAATACCTCTCCAAGCAAACAGTGGCCATTCAGCCACAAAAAAGACAGAATAATGTAGTGTATTATTAAGTAAGACATAAATTAAACAAACATTTATATTAATTACCCCTTAACTTAATTACCAAAGTGTTAAGTACGCTTGCAAAAGTTAAGAAAAAAGTCATGCATTAATGTAATCCTCAGTGTCCTCAGTAATAACACTTACAAGATATTTCAATTCATCACATAAAGCTAACATAAATCAGATTTGGAGGTTTTTAAAATAAATAAAAAACATCAATTTATTTTTTAATTATAGATTTTTTAATGCCTGACTGATTTAATGGCTGACTGCTTGAATTATTCAATATTTATACGCTCCTAAGGCTACCAAATTATATAATACCTTGTTAAATTCTGATACTAAAACTAAGTAGCGCTTAATAGAAATACAAATTACACACCGACGAAATAATACACTTTAACGCAGTTATATCGGGCTTTTATTAATTAACATTTAATATCTAGTATATGAAAATTGCTTTAAAAGCTGACAACTAACAAATTTTATACAATTACTAGCTGTCGCCCGCGTTCTCTTCGCTGAGGTAAAAAGCAATTGTAAAGTAGCCTATTTGTTCTTCCAGACACCTTTACGTCCTTCTAATGAACATCTATCAAAACATACAAACTTCCGCATTCCGCATTTGGTACATAAGTAAGATTTTAACCCCTTCGGTGCCAAATTTTTATTTCGAACTAGCTACTGCCCGCGACTTCATCCGAGCAATATTAATATAAAAAGTAGCCTATAATATGCCCGTCTTTGTCAGTTACCCTTTAGTGAAAGTCCGGTCAAAATCGGCCCAGCCGTTTTAGAGTATACCCGTACCAAACGCGGCTTGCGGACAGACAGACAGACAAACTAAAAAAAAATGCGATTTTCGTTATCAGCAACGCAAATACATCATCTTCCCGAACTCTGGAATTTTTCTTTTGATGTTACAGACAGACACTCCAGTTTTATTATATGCATAGATAGATGTATACGTTTTGGCACTGTCTACACGGCCAAAGGTGACAACATATCTCAAACGCAACGCTACTCAGATACATTATTACCATTGTATCAATGAGATACCAATCGACCTTATCAAATGGCGATTATTTCAACTATGCCCACTTCCACAAAATGACCTCGGCGTAGGCAATCGTGTTCGTGACTTAACATACGTCTAAATATTTTATATAGATACCTGTAATCTAGGATAGGCTTAGGAACTGTCAACCTAGATTAAAAAAGATTTTATGAAGTAAAATAACATCAACCATAACTGAAGTAACAGCTTCTTTAAAACACGCGTTGCGTGTTTTGATGACACATTATGTTAGTCTTGGTTCCTCTATCCTAATTTTGTTAAAATTTACCTTATCGATAACTATCTCAAAAGTCAAGTACAAATGCATTTGTGATCATTAAACTGTTATTCTAGCGCGAATTCCTTGTAAAATTAAAAAAATTGCAAATAAATGGCCGCTAAAACTTGTGTTGTGCAGATTTTACTGACTACGTCTTACCACAGCCGACAGATAGCGCTTGTTTAAAATGATAACATCGCCACTACGCGTATTGAAATTAATAAAGTACTATTCGTAGCTCACAGCAAGAAGTAAAAGTTTATTTACCACATCTACACTAAGGGTTTAGTTAAATCATCATTAAACTGAGTGCTGCAGTTTTCGTAACTTCTTAACGTAACCTTTTAACGCGTGA